AGTCACTTCCTGGAGCTGCTGGCTGAGGCTCGTGCTTCAAGCGACCTCCTGTATAGCCGTGTCTCAGGCTCTTCTCTCTTACCTACCTCCCTGAGGGACAGCAAAGCCTTTTTACTGTGTGCTCTGGTTGCCCTGGTGGACACCTCAGCACTCCAGCCATGGAGCTGCACCTGCCTCCAAGCAGTCGACGGCTCTTAGACCCCATGCCACACCCCCTGCTGTAGTTACTGCAGGCTGCCCTCATGGCCCTGCAGGAACAGGACCCCCAGCTCATTGAGGGGCCCCTCCTCTCCTCTCTCCACTCATGGCTCATGCAGCACAAACCCTCCTAATCACCTCTGTGCATTGTGCACCACCACTTCTGGCAACGGGACACCAGTGCCAACTGGTGGGACTGGATTATCCTGGAGAGGTGGGACGACAAACAGTGGCTCTAGAACTTCCACATGCAGAAGGACACCTTCCTGGAGTTCTGCAAGTGGCTCCCCCCCCCCTCCTCGGGGCTGGTGATGGAACACCCACATGAGACCTGCCATCCCCCTCCAGAAGAGGGTCGCCATCGCCCTGTGGAAGCTCACCACACTGGACAGCTATTGCTCCATGGAGAACTGGCTTGGAGGGGGGAATCGACCGTCAGCTCATGCAGGTATGGCTCTCTCTTGCTATCGTCCCAGGAGGGTAGTGAACTGCTGGAATGGGGATCCCTAGGGAAGGGGGAGGGAGTGGTGGAAGCAGTCTCCCTGGAATGTATTTTAGTCCCTCCTTAAGGAAGTCCTGACATTGGATGGGGCAAGTTGGGGCTTGGTCCTGGCATGTGGAGAGGGGGGTGGGCTCAGGGAACTCCCGAGGGCCCTGGCAGTACTGTGATTCCCTGTTTGTCTACTTCTGCAGGTGGTGAGGGCATCAGCACCATCCTGCTGCACAGGTTCTTCCTCCTTGGTGACATCAACCGCACTGTCACCAGCTTTGCCACCATGAGCTTCCCTCACTGCGGAGGGGGCGGGGCGGTGCAGAGAGGGAGCATTAACAGCACCCACATCCCCTTCCGGGCCCCTGACCACCAGACCTCTGGTTATATCAACAACAAGGGGTACTTTTCTATGGCCGTGGACCACCGAGTCCGGTTTTCCAACGTTAACGTTGGGTGGTCGGGGAAGGTGCATGATACCCACATCTTCAGGAACTCCAGCCTCTTCCCGAAGCTGTTTGCTGGCATTTTTTCCCCCAACCGCACCATTAGGGGCGGGGAAGTGGACATGCCCATGTGCACTGTGAGGGGACACTGCCTTTCCTTTGCTTCCCTGGCTCATGAAGCCCTACACTGGACACCTGGACCCTACCAAGGAACATTTTAATGCCAGGCTCAGCAGAGCCTGTGCGCATTCAGGAGGCCCTGAGGGAGAGTTTCAGACAAGGACCCCAGTGACACTCTCCCCTGGGCCTCCCCACAAGAGGCCTGTGCAATGCCCTTCTGTTCCTTTTCTCCCCCACCCTTCCCTTCCCCTGCCCTCTTTTCCTCTCTCCCCTTCTCCCTCCCCTTCCTCTGTTGATAAAATGAACCAGACCTTTTGTTTTGAACCAATAAACTATTTTTTGTTTGGTTGCGGTAAATGTAGCTGAGGAGGGACTGGGGAAAGAATCTGGAAGGGGGTAGGGAGGTGGAAGGGGGAGGAGAGTCTGAGGGATGGGGCTGGGATTGGCACCTGCCTTGGGGATCTCGGGGCCCACAGGGGGTGGGGGGAGAAGCTGGAGGGGCGGGAGCTGCAGCGGGAGTGGCTGCAGCAGCACTCAACAGGCGGGCAGTGGTGGCAGTGTAAGCTGCACATATGGTCCAGGCCTGATGCAATAGCTCCTGCCAGGTGTTGCGGTGCAGCTCCAGGTCCGCCTCCATTCTGCAGTCCTGCTGGTCCAGAGACTGCTGCAGAGCACACAGGCAGGTGATGTGCTCCTGCTGCTTCATGAGTTTGCCTTCATCTGTGGGTTACGTGGGGTTGAGAGGCTGGTCTGGGAGGTGTGGTTCATGCCCCACTGGCAGCTGGCCCAGCTGTGAAGGGAAGTGAGAAGGGCAGTCATCCTTCAAGCAAGGCCATCTGTGGCTTAGACGACGAGCCCTTTTCTGCAGGGACGCAGATGTCCCAGGGGGAAACTCGCTACCCCTTTGCTCCAGAGACAAGCAGGTATGGGAAGTTGCCCTCCTGTGGGCGGGAGGAGGGCGACCGGGCAGCTTGGTTTCCCTCTATGCCATTCACATGCAGGTCTGGCAGTGGGAGCATCCCACAGGGAGACGGCTTGTATCCCTGCCCGCTGGAGGAGAGGGGGAGAAGGTGTTGGGGGATGCGTGTGTGTGGGCAGTAAATGCCACTTGCCAGAGCGCACTGCTGGCGTCCTCTCCACTTCCTTCCCATTGCCCTTCATTGTGTCCTCTACCTCAACACTGTGCCCTGGTGGCGCATTCTGCCCTGGGAGTGCGGGCATGCCCATATGCCATGTGCGACACTGCTGTGTGTGTGTCCATCATGCCTAGTGGTGGCTGGTGGTGGTGTCCTACCATGAGGTGGGGAATAAGGCAGGCCTCTCCAGAAACTCTGTGGGCAGGAGCTCAAGGTTCCTGAGCGGCTGCCTCATTGCAGCTGTCTGCTCTGGACTGGTGCTCTCTATGCACCTGCATGCACAGGCTGCTGTGCGATCCCCAGGCTGAAAGGCATGGCAAGGAGTGTGCAGCCCCTCACCACCCTCTGCCTCCCACCGTGTATGTCCGGGGATAATAATGCCACTCACCTGATGAGCCTTCCTCGGCCTTGTCCGAGTCCTGGGTGACATCCTGGGAAGGGGTACCGGTTCCAGCAACAGGGTGAGGTCCTGGCTAGTGGGCGTGTTGTCTGTGCTGGCCACCTCCTCCTCCTCCTCCATAGCCCTCTGGGAGGTTCAAGAGAGGTGTGTACAGGCAGGAGTTGATGACAAGGGGAGGGGAGGTGACCTACCACCCTTCCAGGATGCCATCCAGCTGGGTGAAGAAGCGGCAGGTCTGGGGTGCTACTTCCGATGGGGAACTTTTTTTTCTGGCCTTGGCATAGGTCCGGTGGAGCTTCTTCACCTTCATTCTGACTTGGTGCAGAGTGCGGCTGTGCTCTCTCTGGACCAGGCTGGTCGTATATAGCTGCATTGTGCCATTCGGTGCGGAGATCTTGGATGGTAGAGCGTTCCTTCAGATCTCAATGACATCCAGGATCTCCATGTCCGTTCATGAGAGCGCCTTCCTCTTTCTCTCCAGGGCTGGGGCTTGGAAGGTGGCTGCCTGCTCCTTTGCAGCGGTGGGGGGGGGTGGGGCTGGGCGGAAGGGGGCTTGGAGGGAGCACAGGGCAGCAGCAAAAGCAGTCAGGGCTCTGCTATGTGGCACAGTGCGAGCTGGGCCTGCTTTGTGCTACAAGCTCTTTCCCCTGGGGCTGTAGCTTTAAGGACTGCAGGGGAAGGGGAACCATGGAGTTATGATGAGTGTGGACAGAGTGGCGACCAGGGCACCCATGGGAAGCCCTGGAGGCCACTTATTTTGAAAAAAACTCCAGCTGTGCTGCCTACACACCCCCTATTTTGAAATAGCTCTTTTGAAATGGGCGTTCTTCCTCAGCAAACGAGGGTTACAGAATGCGGCATCGGAAGCCCGTTACAGGCAGTCCCCGGGTTACGTACAAGATAGGGACTGTAGGTTTGTTCTTAAGTTGAATTTGTATGTAAGTCGGAACTGGTACATATTGTAAGGGAAACTCTAGCCAAACATTTCTCCAGAGCTCAGTTTTATTCTCCCACACCTCACTTCCCTCAGTCCTTTATTCTCAAGCTGAGGTGTCTGCTGAGAAAAGCCGCTCTCTGTCTCCCTTGTCTGCTGGGGAGGGAGGTGCTAGCTTTGCGTCTCCCTGGTCTGCTGGGGGGAAGCAGCTAGTGCGGGGTTGCCTCACCCCGTTTGTAAGTAGGGATCCGATGTAAGTCGGATCCATGTAACCCGGGGACTGCCTGTATTTTGAAATGATTTCAAACGAACAGGCTTTCTGTGTCAACCCTCACTTTGTTATTTCGAAATAACACTGCTGTGTAGACCTGCCCTTGCTGTCCTGAGAGACCATGGGCTTCCTACTTCAAGGCCTGGCTGTGCCAATATGCAGGGCATGCTCCATAGGTGGGGGAAAGGGATGTACTAACATGCAGATGGAGAAGGGAGACTCAAGCCCATTGTGCTGCCTGCCATGAGACAGACTGAGGACTTTGCCCTAGTGCCCTCACAGGGGCATCTCTTTCCACAAGGTGGTCCTGATGGGTTTGGAAGGCAAAGGAGGACTTTCCATTGTCCTGCCCTCTTTTGAATGGGTCCCTGGGCCTATGATCCCTGCTGTCATGATGGACAGCCCAGAGAGGATACTCCAGCTCATATGCCTTGGAATAAATTGAAAATAAAAGAAGAAAGCTCAGTCCTGAAACCTCAGTCCTGAAACCCTGCCCTTTGAAACGTGCCTTTCTCTCTGCCTCCACCCACGTGCTAAAGCATCGGCTTCCTGCCCCCTCCCTGTGTTGCTGGAGGGGTGAGCTCACAAACTCTGGCTTTGGCTACATGGACACTCTTGAGCAAGAAAGCTCTGATGGCCATTCACAGAATGATCATCAGAGCACCTGTGCTTTTTCTGCGAGACTCCTTTTGTGCAAGAAAGCCCTGTTGAGCGTCCACACACGCCTTTTTGCGCAAGAACTCTTTCACAAAAAGGAGTTATTCTTCATAGAAAGAGGGAGACCCTCACCGCACAAAGCCCTCTGTTCTGCCATTCTACTGTACATTGTCTTCCACAAAAACACGCTTGAGGTGTGGTCCTGCTGCATTGTTTTGGCGTAAAATCAGCCATAGTGTAGACGTAGCCTCCCTGTGCTACAGCTTCATTTGAAATGGCATTTCCTGATGTCTGCTTGTTGTTGTTTATAAAGACACCAGAATGTGATTTTT